TCTAACTTGCACTATAGGTAGTAGGAAGGGAAAGGGGAAAGAAAAAGGAGGGGGGATAGAAGGGAGGGAAGAAGAAGTAAGGGTAAAGGGGAAGAAAAGGAAAAGGGATAATAGAAGGGAGGTGGGACTAAAGGAGGCACTGGTCAAAAGCAAAACACTAGTGGGGGGGAGGAGGAGAAAAGAGAAGCAAAAGCATAAATGGGGGGAAAAAGGATGGAGAAAAAGACACAGATAGTAATCATTACTGTAAATGTGAATGGGATGAACTCTTTCATAAAATGGAAGTGTATAGCAGATTGGATTAAAAATCATAATCCTACAATATGTTGTTTACAGGAAACACATTTGAAAAAGAGTGACATATACAGGGTAAAGGTAAAAGGCTGGAGCAAAATATATTATGCTTCAACTGAAGTAAAAACACCAGGGGTAGCAATCCTGATCTCAGGCAAAGCAAAAGCAAAATTAAATCTTATCAAAAGAGATAAGGAAGGAAACTACATCCTGCTAAAAGGCACCATAGACAATGAAGTAATTTCATGACTAAACATATATGCACCGAATGGTATAGCATCCAGATTCTTAGAGGAGAAGTTCGGGGAGTTACAGGAAGAAATAGACAGCAAAACTATACTAGTGGGGGACCTCAACCTCCCCTTCTCTGAACTAGATAAATCTAACCACAAAATAAACAAGAAAGAAGTTAAGGAGGTGAATAGAACATCAGAAAAGTTAGGTATGATAGACCTGTGGAGAAAACTGAATGGGGATAGAAAGGAATATATTTTTTCTTGGTGGTACATGGCACAAACACAAAAATTGACCATGTACTAGGGCATGAAAACCTCACAATCCAATGCAGAAAGGCAGAAATAGTAAATGCATCCTTTTCAGATCATGATGCAATAAAAACTATATGTAATAAAGGGCCATGGAAAGATAGACTAAAAAATAATTGGAAACTAAATAATTTAATCTTAAAAAATGATTGGGTGAAAGAACAAATCATAGAAACAATCAATAATTTTATTCAAGAGAATGACAATAATGAGACAACATACCAAAACTTATGGGATGCAGCAAAAGCAGTTCTTAGGGGGAAGTTTTATATCTCTAAATGCTTACATAAATAAAATAGAAAAAGAGGAGATCAATGAATTGGGCATACAACTAAAAAAACTAGAAAAACAACAAATTAAAAATCCTCAATTAAACACCAAATTAGAAATATTGAAAACCAAAGGAAAAATTAAGAAAATTGAAATTAAGAAAACTATTGAACTAATAAATAATACTAAGAGCTGATTTTATGAAAAAACCAATAAAATAGATAAACCTTTGGTGAATCTAATTTAAAAAAAGAAAGAAGAAAACCAAATTACTAGTATCAAGAATGAAAAGGGTGAAACTACTACCAAGGAAGAGGAAATTAAAACAACAATTAGGAATTATTTTGCCCAACTATGAGACTACAAATTTGACAATCTTAGTGAAATGGATATATATTTACAAAAATATAAATTGTCCAGATTAACAGAAGAGGAAGTAAAACACTTAAATAACCCCATCTCAGAAAAAGAAATTGAACAAGTCATGGATGAACTCCCTAGGAAAAAATCTCCAGGGCCAGATGGATTTACATGTGAATTCTATCAAACATTTAAAGAAGAATTAATTCCAATACTATATAAACTATTTGGTAAAATAGGTAAAGAAGGAATCTTACCAAATTCTTTTTATGATACAAATATGGTGCTGATACCTAAACCAGGAAGAGTCAAAACAAAGAAAGAAAATTATAGACCAATTTCTCTAATGAATATAGATGCAAAAATTTTAAACAAAATACTAGCAAATAGATTACAGCAATTTATCACATGAATAATACACTATGACCAGGTAGGATTTATACCAGGAATTCAAGGCTGGTTTAATATAAGGAAAACTATCAGCATAATCCATCATATCAACACCAAAACTAACAGAAACCATATGATCATTTCAATAGATGCAGAAAAAGCTTTTGACAAAATACAACACCCATTCCTATTAAAAACACTAAAGGGCATAGGTATAAATGGAGTCTTCCTTAAAATAATAAATAGCATCTATCTAAAACCTTCAGCAAGCACAATATGTGATGGGGACAAGCTAGAAGCATTTCCAATAAGATCAGGGGTGAAATAAGGATGTCCATTATCACCACTGTTATTCAACATCGTACTGGAAATGTTAGCTTTAGCAATAAGAGAAGAAAAAGACATTGAAGGCATTAGAATAGGCAAAGAAGAAACAAAGCTATCACTCTTTGCAGATGACATGATGTTATACTTAGAGAATCCCAGAGAATCAAGTAAAAAACTACTTGAAATAATAAACAACTTTAGTAAAGTTGCAGGCTATAAAATAAACCCACATAAATCATCAGCATTTCTATATATTACCAGCAAAGCCCAACAGCAAGAGATAGAAAGAGAAATTCCATTTAAACTTACTGTAGACATTATAAAATATTTAGGAGTCTACCTCCCGAAACAAACCCAGGAACTCTATGAACACAATTACAAAACACTTTTCACGCAAATAAAATCAGATCTAAATAATTGGAAAAACATCAGTTGCTCATGGGTAGGCCAAATCATACAATAAAAATGACAATTCTACCTAAGCTAATTAACTTATTAAGTGCCATACCAATCAAACTACCAAAAAATTATTTTATAGAGTTAGAAAAAATAATAACAAAATTCATTTGGAAGAACAAAAGGTCCAGAATATCAACAGAACTAATGAAAAGAAATGCAGGGGAAGGTGCCCTAGCCATTCCAGATCTTAAACTGTACTATAAAGCAGCAATCATCAAAACTGCTTGGTACTGGCTAAGAAATAGAGTGGTGGATCAGTGGAATAGGTTAAGTATGTAAGACACAGTAGTAGTCAATGACTATAGTAATATATTATTTGATAAACCCAAAGACCCCAGCTTCTGGGATAAAAACCAACTCTTTGAAAAAAAACTGCTGGGAAAACTGGAAAAGAGTATGACAGAAACTAGGCATAGACCAAACTCTCACACCATATACCAAAAGAAAGTCAAAATGGGTACATGATTTAGATATAAAGGCTGATACTATAAGCAAACTGAGAGAGCAAGGAATAGTTTACCTGTCAGATCTATGGAGAACAAAAGAATCCATGACCAAACAGGAGATAGAGAACATTATAAAAAGCAAAACAGATAATTTTGATTACATTAAATTGAAAAGTTTTTGCACAAACAAAGCCAATGCAACTAAGATTAGAAGGAAGGTAGAAAATTGGGAAAGAATTTTTACAACCAGTCTCTCTGATAAGGGCCTCATTTCTAAAATATATAGAGAATTAGGTCAAATTTATAAGAATACAAGCCATTCCCCAATTGATAAGTGGTCAAAGGATATAAACAGACAGTTCTCAGATGAAGAAATTAAAGCCATCTATAGTCATATGAAAAAATGCTCTATATCACTATTGATTGGAGAAATGAAAATCAAAACAACTCTGAAGTACTACATCACACCTATCAGAATGGCCAACATGACAAAACAGGAAAATGATAAATGATGGAGAAGATGTGGGAAAATTGGAACACTAATGCATTGTTGGTGGAGTTGTGAAATGATCCAACCATTTTGGAGAGCAATTTGGAACTATGCCCAAAGGGCTGTCAAAATGTGCATACTCTTTGACCCAGCAATAGCACTTCTAGGGCTATATCCCGAAGAGATCACACAAATGGGAAAAGGACCTACAAGTACAAAAATATTCATAGCAGCTCTTTTTGTGGTGGCAAAGAATTGGAAATTGAAAGGATGCCCATCAATTGGGGAATGGCTGAGCAAGTTGTGGTATATGAATGTGATGAAATACTACTTTATTATAAGAAATGATGAACAGGTTGACTTCAGAAAAACCTGGAAAGACTTGTATGGTCTGATGCTGAGTGAAGTGAGCAGAACCAAGAGAACATTGTACACAATAACAGCCACGTTGTGTGATGACTAATATTGATAAACTTAACCCTTCCTGGCAATACAAAGATCCAAATCATCTCCAGAGGCCTTGTGATGGAAAATGCTATCCACACCCAAAGAAAGAACTATGGAAGCCAAACTGTTATTTTTTTTCTCTTCTGTTGAGTTTTGTTTCCTCTTTCTGATGGTTCTTCCTATTGAATTTAATTTCTACTTATAACATCACTAATGTGAAAATATGTTTAATAGGAATGTAAATGTATAGCTTACATCAGATTATGCACCATCTTGGAGAGGGTGGTGGGGAGGAAGGGGGAGAAAAATTTTAAACTCAAAAGCATATGGAAGTGATTATTGATAAATCAAAATAAATTAATTTTAAAAAATAAATAAATAAATAAAATATAAAGTTATTTGGATTTTTAAATTGGAGAGAAGCACTTAAAGTTATTTTATACATAAATATTACATGTAAAATTGTCAGACACATGACTTCAATGAAGAAAAAAATAAAACACAGCACTAGGAATTAGGAAAACTGGTTTAATTCTGTCTCTGCCACAAATTGACTATTTAACTTTGGGCAAGTCATACTAATAGATGATTTCTAAGGTCTTCTAACATTCTATGATTCCATGATCAGTCCCTAGCAAGATTAATGCCTGACTCTCCCCCACTTTTTGCCTTTCTTTTAAAGGAAATGAAGCCCCTATCCCAAAGCACTCTCCAGACCCAGGGCCCTGCATGAGAGCCAAGCCTGTTCCCACAATGAGCAAGCAGCAGAAATCATTTCTCTTCTCTCTACATCTTCTGAAGGGTTAGGCAACTGACAGCTCTGAGCCTTAAACTCGGTTCCTACTTATTACCTCAAACCTCAGTCAAGGTCTAGGTAGAGCTCAGATACTACAGTGCAGAGAACAGTGCAGTAGTTTCATCTCTTACAGGAAGGAATGGGACAGAAGAAATGAAACTGAAAGTGTTGTATTTACACATAAAGGCCCGCTTCCTCTAGCTGCTTCCTTAGATCCCGAGCCTAACAGAGCTCTGCTCAAAGGTTGTAGCTGATTAAAACAACAAAGACCTGAGAAGAAGCAGTTACAGGTATCAGTTTCTTTTTATTATGTTCTTGTTTACCACTCCCAGCCCCCATTTGGCTCAATCATTTCCTCTTCTAGTTAACTATTTCTCTCTCCCTGGCCAGTTATCTGTTTAGGCTTGAGACTTTTTGCTCTTGTTAGGATTTGTTCTGCCATTCCTCTCCCTTCAACACATACAATATTTGTTTCCCACTTCCATCCAGGTTTCTTTCTCCCGCTCAAGTCTCTTCTCACAAGGTGTCTTCCTGAACCCTAGTTTCAGACTTTATCAGCTCCCACTACATTTTTACTTGCTGCCTGGGTGCCTCCTCCCCTTTGTAATAAAGAATTTCTCCTTCCTGCTCAGCCTCTGATATCACTTGCCACCCTGGGTCTACAGCTATATCATTCATCAAGCGATTGCATTATTGACAACAGAAGTAAGAAATAGAGGCATACATTCTGCTCACAGCCTGAATCTGCAGAGATGTCATCAAGGTAAGGGCAACTTTTTCCATCCGTGATAGTCTCAAAGAAAGGGTGTGTGGAAGTTTGGGAAGGTTTGGGATACAAAGAAAGGGTTTTTCCCCAGAAAAGAGACATCTGAAGATGAACCAGATTCTCTAGAGTTCAAACAAAAGTGACTAGTAACTCAACGTGATAGGATGTATATAATTTTGTTTTTCTTTCTTTTGGCTTTGACTTTTTTTCCTATGACAATTTCTCCTTCATATTTTTATGAACTTGGTACTATTTGAACTTTTTCTCTCTCCTGGTTTTTCCTAAAAGCATTATCGGAATTATGAAGATTATACAGTATGACCAAGTAGAATTTATACCAGGTATGCAGGGATGATTTAACATAAGGAAAAGTATTAATATAATGTATTCTTTTAATAATAAAAGTAACAAAAATCATACAATTTTATCAATTGATACAGAAAAAGCTTTTGATAAAGTACAATAATCATTTCTATTAAAACATTTGAAAGTATAGGTATAAATAGATTTTTCTGATAAATTGATAAAAAACATTTACTTAAAACCATCAGCAGGCATTACTTTTAATGGAGGAAAGTTAGAAACCTTCACAGTCAGATTAAGTATAAAACAAAGATGCCCACTGTCACCAATATTTATTCAATATTGTATTGGAAATCCTAGCAATAACAATAAGAGAAGAAAAAAATAGAAGGAATTAGAATAGAGAATGAGGTAATCAAACTATCTCTTTTTGCAGATGATATGAAGATATACTTGGAAAATCCAAAAGACTTAACTAAAAAGTTAGTTGAAACAATTGATAATTTTAGCAAAGTAGCAAGATAGAAAGTAAATAAATCACCAGCATTCCTATATATCATAAAGCCCTGTAAGAAGAGATATTCCATTTAAGTAAGAGATATTCCATTTAAAATAACTCTAGACAGTATTAAAATATCTATCAAAACATACCCAGGAACTAGATGAACAAAATTATGTAAAAAATTTATATAAACAAAATCAGATTTAAATAATTTGAGAAATATTAATTGCCCATGGGTAGGCTGGGCCAATACAATAAAATGACAATTTTACCTAAATTAACCTACATATTCCAATTAAATTACCAAAAATATTTTATTGAGCTAGGAAAAAATGAGTGAATTCATTTGGAAGAACAAAAAGTAAAGAATAACAAAGGAATTAATGAAAAAATGTAAAGGAAGGATATTTAGCAGTACCAGATCTTAAACTACATTATGTCAGTAATTATTAAAGCTATCTGATGCTGGCTAAGAAATAAAAAGGTAGATCAGTACAGTAGAATAGACATACAATTTGCAGCAGCTAATGACTATAGTAACTTTGTATTTGACAAGTGTAAAGACAAGTTTTGGGGATGAGAATTCATTTTGGGGTAAAAATTATTGAGAAAGCTGAAAAATAGTCTGGCAGAAATTGGGCATAGACCAATATCTTACAGTATTTACCAAGAAAAGATCAAAATAGATACACAACCTAGATATAAAGAGAGATATTACAAGAAAATTTGAAAAATGTGGAACATATTACCTATCAGACTTATGGAGAGGCAAACAATTTACAAATAAGTAAGAGATAGAGAGTAGTGTGAGATGTAAAATGGATAATTTCAACTACATTAAATTAAAAAAAAAGTTTTGTACAAATGAAACAAAAGTGGCCAAGATCACAAGGAAAGCAGAAAATTAGGGAGGAGGGTTTTATGGACAGTTTCTCAGATAAAGGTCTCATATCTCAAATACATAAAGAATTCTATCAAATCTGTAAGAATACAGGTCATTCCCCAATTGATAAATGGCCAAAGGATATGAAAAGGTAGTCTTCAGATGAAGAAATAAAACAATTTGTAGTCATATAAAAATGCTCTACATCATTATTGTTTAGTGAAGTACAAGTTAAAACAACCTTGAGGATAATTTTACATCTATTAGAATGGCTAAAATTATTGAAGGGGAAAGTGACAAATGTTGGAGGGTATGTGGAAAAATTAAGACACTAATTCATTGTTGGTGGAATTGTGAACTGATCCAACCATTTTGATCCAACCATCTAACCAATCTGGAATTACGCCCAAAGAGTTATTAAACTGCCTATACCCTTTGATACAGCAACACCACTACTGGGTTTATTTCCAAAGATGATTAGGGAAAAAAAGAAAAATAACCTATTTGTTCTAAAATGTTTATACTAGCTCTCTTTGTGGTCACAAAGAACAGGAAATTTCAGGGGTGCCCATCAATTGGGGAACTGGCTGAAAAAGTTGTGGTATATGATTGTAATGGAATGCTACTGTGCTATCAGAAATGATCAGCTCAATGATCTTAGAAAAATGGAAAGACTTGCACAAAAGAATGAAGAACAAAATGAGCAGAACCAAGAGAACATTGTATACAGTAACAGCAATATTGTTTTAAGAACAACTTTGAGAAACTAAGTAATTTTGACTATTATAAATACCCAAATGGACTACAAAGGACATATGAAGGAAGGCACTATTTGCATCCAAAGAAGAAACTGATAAAAAGAAATATGTGCAGAATGATTTTACACATATATACATATTTGTATTTAATGGTAGCCATTTCTAGGGCAGGGCATGGGGAGGGAAGGGAAAAAAAAGAAATTTACATGATAACTTTATTATACATTTAAAAGGAATAGCAAGTTGTACACAATGGGTTTATACTTTCATGTACAATCATCTTTGTTGTTGCTGCTGTGCTATGCTATGGAAATGCTTTTTTTATTCCATAAATTTAAAATAAAATAAATATTATAAAAAGGCATTATCAACTTAGATTTTCCTGCTTGTCTTTACAATGTTATAGTTATTATATAAATTATTCTTTTGGGTCACTTCATTTCACTGTGTTAGTTCATACAAATCTTCCCAGGTTTCTCAGAACCCATCCTTTTTGTAATTTCTTGAAGGCAACAGTATTCCATTATACACATATGCAATAATCTGTTCAACCATTCCCCATGGATGGGTGACCTTATGGCTCCTATTTCTTTGACACTACAAAAAGAGCTGTTATAAATATTTTTGTACAAAATGGGTCCTTTTTCTCTTTCTTTGACCTCTTTGAGGCATTAACCTAATAAATGTATTGGTGGATCAAAGGGTATGTTTAGTGACATTTTGGGCATAGTTCCAAATTCCTTTCCAGAATGGCTTCACCAATTCACAACTCCACCAAAAAGTGCATTAAATGTTCCAGGTTTCCCAGCACCTTCTCCAACACTTGCCATTTTTTTGTTATCTTTGCCAGTCTAATGAACAAAAACTTTCAAATAATTAATATCTTGTATCAATGCAATGACAAACCATGATTTCAGAGAACTAATAATAAAGCATGCTACTCAGTTTATCACAGGGAGGAAATGGATTCAAGGTACAGAATGAAACATACATTTTTTAGACAAGGACAATGTAGGAATTTGCTTTGCCTGGATATGCATAGTTGTTTGCTATAAGAGTTTTGTTTTTCTTTTCTTTTTAAAGGAGAGAGAGAAAATAAATGCTTGTAAATTTAAAAATAAAGCAAAATGTATAAAAAAAGAAGAAATTCCTGCCTGTCCCTTGCTCTATAGCCTCCAATTTCATATTTCAGAAAGGGCCCCTTCCCCTTATGTTAACTGTGAAGCAAACAGATATCCAGATTAGAGAGCATCTAGAGTTTCCTAATCTCCCTGGGTTTCCATTTCTCTGGTTATAATATGAGGTGGGTTGGACTAGATGACCTCTGAGGTCTCTTCCATTTCCAAAATTACCTCAATTAGCCCCTATCTAAATGACTTTCAGAAAAAGGAGACATTGGGTCAGCAACTGAGGCTAGGAAGCTTAGTCTCCACACTCTACAAAAGCTTGGATTTGTACCCTGACTGTGGGCTAGGAATTCCTTTCTTCTGCATTCCTGGTGAACTAAACTCTGCTGCCACCTTCTTCCACTTCATATCATCTGCCCTGCCCACCTGTCACAGTTTCTAGATGAGGACGATAGATAGCAACAATCTTCATTTCTGTAGTTTATAACATGTTTTCATTACAACAACTCTCTAATGCTGATGATGCAACTTTTGTGAACCCTATTTTACAGATAACAAAACTGATGCTCAGAGAAGGTAAACTATTTGCCTAGGGTGACATTCCTAGCAGGTACCACAGACCACATCCTCTTGATTCTACATGTTAGTAAAGGGTCATGGAGTGAAATTGAGCAATCACCTTTTCAGAGATGTTTAAAAGAATAACAAAGATCCTTATTGGTCTGGCCTAGCTCAAGCATTACAGCCTTACTTTGGGGTAAGGGATGAAGATGATAACTTCTCAAAACCCCTTCCAGTGATGAGTCAATTTTATATTGTCAGGATCTAATTTCATATTACCCCTCTCCTCTCTACCACAAACAGCTTTTCTTCAGAATGGTGGATCCTCATCTCAAAAGATCCTCTCCTTAAGGGAAAGCACTATTTCTTATACTTTTTTTTTCCCCCTACCAGGGCATATAGTAGGTACTCAGTAAATATGTGATTGGATAAATGATGTAAATTTGTCCTGGTTTAAAGACCTTGTGAGAAAGACATTTCCTACCTTTAACTACTGATTTCAATGTCTAACAACCTTAACATATTTATTCAACAAACATTTAACAAGTATTGACTATGTATACTGAAGTATGCTATTTTCTATTACTGTCCAAGGCACCACCATCCTCCTAGTCAATGAGGCATACAACTTATGTGTGTGTGTGTGTCTGTGTGTGTGTGTGTGTGTGTGTCCTCCCTCATTTCCAATCTGTTCAAGTCATGGCTATTCTACATGTCAGTCAATTAGCATTTATTAAGCACCTAGTGTGTACTATGCACTGTGCTATCCATTGTACCTTCAGAAGATATCTCAGGTTTATGCCCCTTTCTTTCCTCTGAAAGTTACAAAGCTAGTCCAGCTCCTCATCAACTCCTACTCAGAC